TTGGAAGGGATCCTCGGGGATCATCAAATCCAACGCTCAGCTCCGCGCAGGAACGCACAAAATCAAACCTCACACGTGACAGCACTGTTCAAACACTTCTTGAACTTTAGTCTTGTTGCTGTGCCCACTGCAGCATGTTCCATGGCACCACACTCCAGCGCAGAACTCTTCCCTGACCTTCAGCTGACCTGCCCATAGCACAGAGTTAGTTCACCTGTGCCTTCCTATTTGCACTGCTTTGTAGCCTGATTGAATGTTTGAAATCAGTGCCCGGCCAAAACCCCACAACTTTCCCTTATCTGCCAAAGATGAAAACACCCGGAGTTATCTGCAGAAAAAAGCTACTTGTTAGCACTGATACTAACCAGAGGAAATTAAAACTAACACTCTGAGGAGCAGAAAAAGAAAGCCGTTTGGGATTTTCCTGCCTCCTTTTGCTTTTGGTTTCACTTGACCAAGCAGCGTCCCGCTCACCACTCGTGTCTGCACGGAGCAGAGCGCTGCGTGTGCCGGCCCCAGCACCATGCTGCCTGCCCACACCTCTGCCCACCAGCACAGCACTGTAAGGACGCTGCCAGCCCCACGCGGGGGACGGACCAGCATCAGGAGAGCAGGGGGAACAGGAGACTTCCAGTGAGGTAAGATGGCTGTGCTTGTGCTGACATTTCCTTTCTCTCCTTGCAGATGGGAAGCTCAAGCAGCTGTTGTTCGGTGAGTAGAAGGGCTTTGAATCACCGTTCTCCCCAGCTCTCCGTGTGCTGCCCCAGAGTTTTGGGGTGATGTGGCTGCTTCTGTGTTGAAGCTGATTCTCACCATTCTCTCCCAAGGAGAAAGCAAGAGAGATGAGAGATTTCCTCCTACAAGATGTCCCTCCTATTTGTGAGAACAACTTTATGGAAGTATCAGAGAACAGCATTGAGGCTGGGGACATAGTGCTTTTCAACATGCAGTCCAGCAGCAATGCTGCGTTCAGCTTCAAGCACGCGGTTGTCTACTGTGGGGACGGGGAGGTCATCCACTTCCAGAGTAAGTGCACGTGCCCTGCCTTCATGTCATGGCAGCCCACAGAGCGACAGGGTGATGGCCAACTCTTCACGTTTCAGATACCGTGTTCACTTTTCAGATCTCTTGTATCACTTTTCAGATTCAAGAGCAGGGCAAATAAGCAAAGAAGGGTTCCAGATTATGAGACAGCAGAACGGGAAAGGCAAGGTTCTCAGGAAAAAGGACGGGATCAACCTTGAGACCTTCAAGAGAAAAGTCAGGGAGCTGATGAACAGCACAGCCACATACAGCTTCAAGGACAACAACTGCATCAACTTTGCTCTCTATCTGCTGGATCTGGGGGATTTCAGCTTTCAGTCTGTAAGTATGGAACCAGGATGGGGCATTTGCAGGGGGGCCACACAAGTCCCAGAACAAAAGATATTCTTTGCCTGCAGACAAACAGCCTTGAAGAGGAACTTGAAGGTTTGACTGTGAGTACATTTGGTGTCACTGCGCCCCGTGTGCTTGAGTCCCCAAGAAGGGTTATGGCCCCAAAAGATCTGGGTTCCCAGAAGAGGGTTGGGTCACCAGGGGACCTGGATGCCCGAGGAGGGTTGAGTTCCCCCGTGAGGGTTCGGTCCCCAAGAGGTCTGGGTTCCACAAGGCAAGCAGGATCCTTGGAAGTGTTGGGTTCCCAAAAGAGGGCTGTTTTCCCCACTGATGGTCCAGTCCCCAAGAATGGTTGGGTTCCCCAGTGAGGGTTCAGCTCCCACCAGATTTGGGTTTCCAAGGAGGGCTGCATCCTCAGCAGTTGTTCAGGTCCCCCAGAACGATTGTGTTCACCAAGAAGGTTTGGAGGCTTTGGGTGCTATCTCCAACTCTCCCAGGCACAGCACAACATGATCGTCTGAGAGGATTCCAGAGTCTCATTCGCCAGCACAGACCCCTGGCAGAGCTTTGTCTCCACCATTCGTCTTTCCACATGTCCACTTCCTTCAAAAGATGACCATTCTGTAGGCGTTCCTTTCCATCTTTTTGTGCTGGATCATGTCACAGTTGGAGCTCAGCACCCCCTGCACAGGGGTAGAAATACTAATAAGCTGCTTTCTTGCTGCCTTATTGTGTTTGCCTTCTTCAAATAATCAGTGCATTCAGAGTATTTTGCAAATAGAATTACTTGTTAATAATAGTGCTTATCTGGGTACAACAATTCTTTTCAGCAACTTCTTGTACTGCTAATATCTATAGCCAAATAATAGTAGCCAAGGTAATGGTATCTTAAGTAATTAGAACGAAAAATTTAATCCTTCTTATACTACTCAATCTATATCCAAATAGTAGCATCCCATGTAATAGTATGTCACATAATCGCAATAAAAAATAACATCCCAAATAATACCTGGAGATTCCCGTGTCTTTATGGGTGCCTGCAACCTCCCAGACGTTCGCTGGGACCATCACACGGAGTTCAGGAAATTCCTGATGCCTCCTGAAGATAGCGGTTTGGTACAGGACCCAACTCCTTGGTTATCCTGTACAGAACAAGGAGCCGATCCCAGTGGGCCCCTTGCACCCCGCGCCATCTTACAGGTCTGTGTCAGATGGGACCAGAGCCGGGCAGAGCCCTGGGAGTGACCGCGTCCAGCCACAGCTTGTGCCACCACCCCTCCCATCCAGATTTCCACCACAGAAGTGTGTTTTGGTGCTGAGAACCAAGCTCCAGCAGGCTCTAAGTGGGGACAGCACACACCGCGTCCCCAGCCTGGTATGGATGACCTGCTCGGTCATGGTCTCACCCATCACCTGTCTCTGGGGTCCCTGCCTGCTTACAGTCCCCATTGTCACCACAGTAGGCACACTGCTGTGCTGTTTCACGCTCCAGCAGGGAGAGATGTGGGCCCAGACTTCTTTCTGCTGCAGGTGGCAGTGCTGGAGGGCAGGGGAAGTAATGGTGGCCTGTGAGTATCCCTGCTGCCTCTTCTCCCCACTGCGTGGAGTCTCCAAGGAGCGCTGGGTCCCCAGGAAGGGCTGTGTCCCCAAGGAGGGTCGGCTCCCCAAGGTGGCTGCAGCCACCTCCCTTCATCCTCATGCTTCACAGTTTCAAAGACACATTTCCCGTACGAAATACAGATTTAATTGTGTTTTTTTTTTCTACTTTCTTGGGCTGCATCATTTCACAGGAGGTCAGTCCGGGGAAGATGGCAGCACCAAGAGGGAGAGGGCAGAAATGAGCTGAGAGACATGAAGTCAGCTGCAGAAATAGGATGCTCAGCCACACCACTAGCAGCCGAGTCCAAAGGAGGA